AAAAATAAATACTAAAAACCACATACCAGGACGGGTCGTTACAATTCTCCCCCACTTGACTCAGACTTCGTCCTCGAAGTCTGCTGCTGCATCTGCAAATAACCCGGATAATGTTCTCTCATTTCATCTTCAGCCTCCCACGTCCACTCAGACCCCTTCCGGTGCTCCCACTGCACCTTCACTAGCTGAATTACCTTGTTCCTCAAGGTCTTTGCTTTCCGGTCCAGAATCGCGACCGGCCTCTCAATATAATTCAAGCTGCTATCCACCTGGATATCCTCTAAAGGAACAACTGCTGACTCGTCCACCAAACACTTCCTTAACTGAGACACATGGAAAGTGTCGTGGATCTGGCTAAGCTCTGCCGGAAGATCTAACCGATAAGCAACCCGACCCACCCGGGCCAAAACCCTGAAAGGACCAATAAACCTGGGACCCAACTTGCCCCTTTCCGGAACCTGATAACACCCTTCCAAGGTGAGACCTTCAGAAGAACCATGTCACCCACCCGGAACTCCAAGTCTGAACGCCTCCTATCGGCGTAACTCTTCTGCCGACTCTGCGCAGTCTGCAGTCTACTACGGACCTGCTGGATCAACTCGGTCGTCTTGAGCACCACCTCTGTGCTCCCAATGACTCGCTGACCCACCTCGCCCCAACAAATCGGGGTCCTGCACTTCCTCCCATAAAGCATCTCAAAGGGAGGTCGATCGATGCTCGCATGATAACTGTTGTTATATGAAAATTCCGCTAACGGAAGATACGTATCCCAACTGCCACCAAAATCCAAAACGCATGCCCTAAGCATGTCCTCGAGAGTCTGAATCGTCCTCTCACTCTGCCCGTCCGTCTGAGGGTGGAAAGCAGTGCTGAAGTGGAGACGAGTACCCATCTCGTCATGGAACCGCTTCCAGAATCGGGAGGTAAAACGGACATCTCGGTCTGACACCACCGATACCGGCACTCCATGGCGTGCCACAATCTCACGCACATAGATATCGGCTAACTTTTCTGCCGATATACTCTCCTGGATCGGGATAAAATGGGCACTCTTCGTCAACCGATCCACTACTACCCATATCGAATCTACTCCTCGTGCGGTCCTGGGAAGCTTGGTGATAAAATCCATAGTGATGTCCTCCCATTTCCACACGGGAATGTCTAACGGCTGCATCTTGCCGTGAGGCCTCTGATGTTCTGCCTTGACCTTCCTGCAGGTCAGACACCTCTCCACATACCAAGCAACATCCCGCTTCATGCAGGGCCACCAATAATCGGGTCGAAGATCTCTATACATCTTCGTTGCCCCTGGATGGATAGAAAATCGAGACTTATGAGCCTCGTCCATCAACACCTGTCGTACTCCGCCTCCGTACGGTACCCACACTCTCCCATGAAGGGTTAACAACCCCCGACTATCATAATCGAACGCAGCTACTCGACCTACAATCCTCTCACATTTCTGCTTCTCTTCCTTGAGGCCCTCAACCTGAGCCTCCCTGATCCGTTCCAACAACGGAGTAATCACAGTCATTCTCAAACACAAATCTCTGATAGGGGCTGCTGTCACCTTCCGACTTAAGGCATCGGCCACTACGTTGGCCTTCCCTGGGTGATAAAGGATTTCACAATCATAATCCTTCAGCACATCCAACCATCTCCTTGCCTCATGTTTAGACTCGGTTGATCCATAAGGTATCTCAAGCTCTTGTGATCCGTGTAGATGGTACAACGGACCCCATAAAGATAATGTCTCCAAATCTTGA